GTACAAAGATTTTTGGCAGTTGTTGTGTCTGAGTGAGAAGATAATTCATGAAATTTGAGAGATGTAGTCATTGAATGCATTTTGTGCCAAAACAATGATAACTGGTCCTCATCTTGTGATTGGTTTTATATTTATGAGGCTGCACTCTTTGCTCTTTATCTCTTGTTATGCCTTCATGTAAGATGAAACTAACACTTTACAATGAAGTCAAGAGGTGACCAAGAGGTATGAGAGGTCCGCAGTTCTCACTAACCCTGTCAATGTGTCTGTGTGTGTGTGTGTGTGTGTGTGCCTGTGTGTGTGTGTGTGTGTGTGTGTGTGTGTGTGTGTGTGTGTGTGTGTGTGTGAGACATGTCTGGAAGAAATCTGTCAGACTTCATCATCACTGCTGTGGCTGAAGGACGGAGCAGGCGGTGCTGAGGATGCAGTCACACTCTTCTCAAAGCGCTTGCTGTTGAAATCTGACGTGGCTGGACGTGACTCCGCCTCTTCCTGTGAACGCACTCCCAGCTAGATTGATTAACCTGTTATTGTGGTTTTGATGGTGATGATGTCATCTTTGTGTCCTCCAGCCCAAACTTCTATATCCTGGACGAGCCGACCAATCACCTGGACATGGAGACCATCGAGGCGCTCGCTAAGGCTCTGAACAAATTCAAGGTGTGTGTGTGTGTGTGTGTGTGTGTGTGTGTGTGTGTGCGCGTGCGCGTGCGCGTGCGTGCGTTCTCACCTGTGTGATGTCACGTGTTTCAGGGCGGGGTCATCCTGGTGTCACATGACGAGCGTCTGATCAGGATGGTGTGTAAGGAGCTGTGGGTGTGTGAAGGCGGGAAGGTGCGGCGCATCGACGGCGGGTTCGATGAGTACCGGGACATCCTGCACGAGCAGTTCAAGAAGGAGGGTTACCTGTGACGCTCCACCCACTGCTTACTGACCGTACCCACCACTGACATAACCACGCCCCCTCCATTATGATGTGTCGCAGCAGCTAATCGGCATCTAGAGCGGACCGGAGGACTTTTTCTTCTCTGAACTCTCACCTGCTGCTCAGGTGATCTGCTGCAAGCTGATTGGCTGCGAACTCTGCGGGGAGAGGGGTCACCCAGAGCGGCTCGGCGTTTATTTAACGAGTGAACCTGTCGTCTGTCTGTCGTCTCAGCTGATTGTGTTTTGTATGGCAGCGGTTTCCTGCGAGCTGATGTCACAGTGACATCAGACACAAAACAAATAAAAGAATCATATCACGCCTCCGCCTCTCTCCTTCACTCCGGGGTGGGGTTGGGGTGGGTCGTGGGCGGTATTTAACTGTGCCAGGCAGTACTCAGAGGTGCCACCGGATGGCGCTCAGGAGGAGCAGATCTGCTCTCAGGAGTGAAGTTTCTACACGTTTATCCTAAACGTGGCCGTGCTCACTGCTAACGAAACGCTAGCTAAGCAGTGACAACAAAACATGTCCGCCTGATAAAACCAGTGGTTAAAGCGAGGTGAAAAATGTGATTTGGTATTTTTGTTTTTAAATGGTACCGTGGAAACGTGCTGGGCGGTTACAGATAGCAGAGCTTTATGAGCTGTGTTGAGCTTCACAGCGGTACGACACCCAGAAACCCTCACAGGCACGAGCGATCCAGCGAGCGCGAGCGATGACGAAGAGCTGCCAGGGTTCAGCTGCTTTCTCTCTTTCTGTCTCTCAGACAGACTTCAGCCCTCCGGCTTCAGAGCGCCGAAGAGGGACAGGACAGCAGAGGGAGGGGAAGACCTGCAGCAAACCGCGGGTCGGACTCGAACCTGGGCGCATGTCCAGAAAAAATCTACAGAGTTGAACTGCAGGAATGTCTTAAAGACATAAAGACCTGGATGGCCGCTAACTTTCTGCTTCTTAATTCAGATCAAACTGAGGTTATTGTACTCGGCCCTGAAAAGCTTAGAAATATGGTATCTAAGCAGATTCTTCCTCTGGATGGCATTACCTTGACCTCCAGTAACGCTGTGAGGAACCTTGGAGTCATTTTTGACCAGGACATGTCCTTCAATGCACATATTAAACAAATATGTAAGACTGCTTTCTTCCATTTGTGCAACATCTCTAAAGTTAGAAATATCCTGTCTCAGAGTGACGCTGAAAAACTAGTTCATGCATTTATTACTTCCAGGCTGGACGACTGTAATTCATTATTATCAGGAAGTCCTAAAAACTCCCTGAAAAGCCTTCAGCTGATCCAAAATGCTGCAGCAAGAGTCCTGACAGGGACTAGAAAGAGAGAGCAGATTTCTCCTGTTTTGGCTTCCTGTTAAATCCAGAATTCAAAATCCTGCTCCTCACATACAAGGTCTTAAATAATCAGGCCCCATCTTATCTTAATGACCTTGTAGTACCATATCACCCTATTAGAGCACTTCGCTCTCGCTCTGCAGGCCTACTTGTTGTTCCTAGAGTATTTAAAAGTAGAATGGGAGGCAGAGCCTTCAGTCTGTTGTTGTGATTTGTTGCTGAAAAATGAATTGAATTCACGTTGATTTAGATAAATCATCATCCCAGTCTGTCCACTGCTGATGGACGACTGAAGACCGGAAGAAGCTGTTACAGACTGATGACTCTTCAGGACCTGGGCCCTATTTCAGGAAGCCGGTTTAGAAAACTCAGAGTGAAAAACGATACTCAGGGTTGAGTAACCCCGAACTGTCCAACTCGGAATATTCGGTTTCAGAAAGGCTGATAACAATAGTTCAGTCAACGCGGAGTTGCTTTAACCCCAAGTTAAGCGCGCGCACGAGGATACATAAAGCCCTGATTAGTGGAGCACAGATTAAGCGAGTCACCATGGAGACGGAGGGAAAGAAGGCGCGGTCAATGTATTTTACAGCGCTTGAGGCGAAATTCTGATGGCAGCATATGCCGATAACATGCAAATTTTGCAGAAAAAAAGTAACACAGCCTCAGCTGCAAAAGAAAGGGAGCATGCATGGCAAAACATAGCCGACAGAGTCAATGCGTGAGTGTTAATTTAAACATTGATCTAGGGATTTCCACCCATTTAACACGTTATTTTATTATATTTATTTTATTTTTTATTTTATACATTTTATTTTGTGATGTGATGTGAGCGCAGGTGCAACCCAACAGGCCCCAAACGTTCCTGGCAGCAAGTAAAAATGAAATATAAAAATATAGTCCAAACAGGTGAGGTGTAATTGTATTATGAGCCATAGTGCTTGGTCTGTTTGTCCGATGTAAATCAATTGCAGTTAGAGGCTACATTAATTTCCCCTCTGTAAGCACTTATTGAAATTATCTGAGCACATTACAAGTACATATTTGCTTACTCTGTATGCTCAAATGTGACCCGTTATAGCCAACAGAAAAAAAGCGGAGGCCCGAAAAACAGGTGGGGGTCCTCCACCACCACCACTCACAGAGGCTGAGCAGTTGGCTTCCACATTTGTGATAATGTTGGCAGCATCACATATGATCTTCACAGTGCAGAGAACACAAATTAGCATCCATTACTATAATGAAATAATTTGTTAGTTTGAAATGCTACAGGGAACTATGTACCTGTACATTAATGCTGTGGAAAGACTTCCTGTTCACATAGTCTCCTTCATTTACTGAAGGAGCAATGATTGGAATGTGAGTGCCATCTATACAGCCAATCACGCCTGGGAACCGTGAAATAAATGTAAAATTTAAGTAGTAGTTCAAGTATCACCACATCATGAATTAAGTTTTCGTTCATCCTGATACCTGCAATTTTGTGGCATCCCTCTTTGATAAATCTTGTGGGTCTATGACCGGGGAACACCACAAACGAGTACAGGAGACGTTTCAGTGCAACTGTAACAACCTGACTGCCCGACAGACGGTAGCCTTGGAAACGTGCTCAGCGTCACCAATATTATACAGAAAGCTCCCGTTTGCAAAAAACCGAAGTGCAATACAAATAATATGTACAGAACTGAGAGCATGTCTGCGATGTGTCACAAACATAATATTAGGCCTGAGGATGTTATTCAAATGAATTATAGATTGTGCTGAAAAACGGTAACGTTCACACAGGAAATCATCAGGAAATGATAAAATGTCCAAACGCGCTCTAATCACTCTCTCCCGGCGGAGAGCTCTGCGGACAATTTGGGCTTCAACATCTACTGGCTCTTCAAGGAAGGAGCACGCCATGTCTGACACTTCCTACAGTCAGGTTTCTGACAAAGAGGCGGAGAAGGTCAGGGTTATTTGAAGTAAACCTGCTAGGGGGCAGGTTAGCTTCACGGAGTGTGTCGTCATAGTAACTCACTCAGAATTAATCTAAACTCGCTTTGTGAAACCGAAAACCCAGAGTTTTCGTTAACTCAGGGTTTACTTACTCAGAGTTTGCACTAAACCGGCTTCCTGAAACAGGGCCCAGTAGGTGAAAGGACATGAAGACACAAACACCGATCACAGTCAGAAACAACCAGCCAGTACAAAACAGCTCCTCTCATAAAACAGGCAGACACCAACTACTGAAGGAAACCACCACAAAGTCAAATTAAACCCTAAACAAACACAGCGGGGGGGCGAGGCACCCTCAAACAGCTTTCAGGTTTAACAATGGGAATGAAAATGAAGCCATGAGGGCCAAACAGCACCCTCTGCTTGCAGCTGCCCCCTCAGCCTGCGTACAGGTGTGTCCAATCAGTCGCTCAGGGGTCTGGTTTCCCTCTGCTGGACCAATAGGCTTTCGCTGGAGGTGCAGGCCGAGGGTTGGTCTGTGTTTCCACAGAGACTTATTCATCATAAAGAACACAAGACAGAACAACCAACTCGCTCATGAGGGAAGTTTTGGGTCAGAACCAGCTCTTGGAGCTCACGCTGCTCACCTGACTCCAAATCCTTCAAAGAGCAGCTTCCTCGTAGCCTTTTTATTGACAAACACAGTTGCAACACACAGCACAAGCACCTCCCTCCATAAAACCCCCCAATGGTTCTAAGACAAGGCACTGTGTGTGTGTGTGTGTGTGTGTGTGTGTGTGTGTGTGTGTGTGTGTGTGTTTGAGTGACCTCCTGCTGACCAAAAGGGTGATAAAAGCAGGAAGCAACAACAGAAGAACAGATCTGTCAGACAGGATGTATCTGCGATAAAACCTCCCCCAGCACACAGTGTCTGGTGGTCAGAGACAAAGGAATGTCTTGATCCTGTAGATTGAACTCAGACTTTACAAATTTAAGAACCACAATGACAACATTCAACAATCAGACTTAACACTGAGCAGTCGTCAGGCCAGTCTACATCACAGCAACCCTGCAGTATCTGTACTGCAGTACCGCGTGTACTCTGTTCAGCAGGCCCTGCACGTGTCGCTGTCGGTGCTCTGAAGGTTATTCCAGAGTTGGCTCCGTTCCTCTTAAGCCTTTGGAATATTTTCATGAACAGCTGCTTCCTACAGGATCATCAAAAGGTGCTGTGACCTTTGACCTTTTCACCTTTACAGGTCAGCAATGAAAATACTCCAGCAGAACAGAGTTCAGACGTGTTGTCGTCTCTGCGGCTGATATGACATCTGTGTGTCAATATTTGAGCTGTGGTTAACCATCAATCCGTCAGCTGCTCCTCCGTCCTCCATTTTGCCCGCAGCCGTCGGACAGACATGCTGCCGTCCACAGCCGTGACTCTGAGCGTTGGCGCTCTGCTCGTCTGCTCTGCGCTCATCCAGTGTTCAGGTGAGACACACCCACGCTCGTGTTTTCAGCCTCTGTGGCACAGTCTGAGTGTTTCCATTTTTCTGTCCACCCCTCAGTGTTCTTGGATCGGTCGGCGGCCGGCCAGATCCTGCGCTCCTCCTCCAGGAGGCGACGAGCCAACTCGCATTTCCTGGAGGAGATGCTGCCCGGGAACCTGGAGCGGGAGTGTTACGAGGAGCGCTGCTCGCTGGAGGAGGCCACAGAGATCTTCCAGACCCAGGAGAAGACGGTACGAAGCCCGCCGCCGCCCACGCAGCAGGAGATTACCACCGTGTTACTTTATTTAAACATATATTAAAGCAAAGTCAGCACCACAGACCCGTGCTAACCCAGAGAGGACCGCTTCGTCCTGATTGATGATGCTGGGCCCAAAACCTGACCCTCAGCGGGTGGAACTAAATGCTTAAATAAGGATTTCGACGTAGTTCTAGTCAAGGGTGTGTAGCTGGCAGAGTGTGTGTAGAGGAAGCAGCTGAAATGATGGAAGTCATCAGAAAACATCATCCTCGTTCATCCCGGACACGAAT